TGGGTGGTGAGCGAGGTGCAAAATCCTTACTTCACCGGTAGAGTTCACGAGGTAAGCAAGATGGGACAAGATGTTGCTATGATTTCCTAAGACCCCATGGAGCAATGATGCCTTGGATGAGTGTAGTTTGGGGCACTTGCAACACCCCCAAAAATTCTCTCGTACTTTGGTTGGGGATGCTCAATCGTCCCTGCACGAAAGACTGGTTATTCCTTGAGGTAGATCCGGCATGCTCCCTTTGTGGCAGAGTTATGGATTCATCGGGTCATCTTTTTTTCGAGTGCACATTTAGCTCAGAAATTTGGGGTGTGATTCGTGATTGGGTTAGACTCTGTCATAGACCATTGACACTAAAAAGAGCTCTAAAATGGACAAAGAAGGAGGCTCGAGGGGCAAGTTGTCAAACCTAGTTGAAGTAACCGGCGCTCGTGGCAACCGTGTACTTCATTTCGAACGAGAGAAATAGGTTGATTTTTGAAAATGAATCTCAACTCTGAGTCTAGTGATTTATAAGATCCAAACTAATACTTATCGTACAATATTTGTGTCGTATCCGAATGTGCTTGCCGAATATGAGAAAAAAGCCCTTGGAGTATACTAGACTTCTACTTTGCATGGAGAGTCTTGGTTTTGTAGAAAATTACACATCTCGGTGCCCAGGATTCGCAGCGCGAGGGTTGTCGCGAATGGGTCGCTACCAAACAAAAACTATAGGATCAGGGGGTGTCGCACTACGGAGATAAGCAAGCCTCGCGCCGTGTCAGGCTCCGCCCCTCCATGTATAGCTTTACCGCGCCGCAAGAGGCGTCGCGACCCAACAGAGACTACAACTCCAAAGGATGCTGCCGCGTAAGCTGCTTCGCGCCGCAAAGACCAGCAGGCCTCACGGAGTGCCAAGCTTCGCGCGGGTGTAACAAGAGCAGAGACTTCAGCTCCCGGGAGTGCCGCGCCGCAACGACCAGAAGGACCCGAGACATGTCAGTCTCCGCGTCACGAGTACCTCATTGCCACGCCATGAGGTCCCCACTGCTACCAGCCAGCGTTGCCCAGCTGCCCAAGTCCGCGACGGCCATCGCGCCAAGCTTCGCGCCACGACTGCTTCATTACCGCGTCGCAAGGTCCCGCCTGCTACCAACCAGCGTTGCCCAATCGCTTTAGTCCACGATGGGCGTCGCACCACGACGCACAAGTGTTCTATGTATATTTGTCTTGGTTTGGGACTTGAGTGAGGAACCAACATGTTGTTGTCCTCTTATACTTTTCATCCGCGAATGAGGAGTCGAGCATGTGGCTGTCCACTACGCTTTTTTATGTTGTTTATCATTCCTTGGAACACCAGTTTTGATCTATAAATTTATATTTATCGATCAAAGAAAAAAAAAAAACTCCGCTTATGTTGTCTCAACATAGCAGGTCCCAAGCCCTAGTAAAGGAGAAGGGTTGTGATAGGCTTGGAGAGCCAACGTAAAACTTAGATGTTCTATGGAGATAAAACACATGAGAAATTTGTTGGGGCATAACCCTCTTAGCGACGCACCATATCCGAACCCGAGTATGGTGTCAAATGGGCAAAGGCCGGGTCGTCTCCCCCTCGGTGACATGCCATGTCGTGGTTTGAGCATGGTGTTAAGTGAGCACGGACCGAGTCGTCATTTCCTTAGTGGCGAGCTACATCGGCGCCCGGGTGTAGTGGAAAATGAGCAAGGGTCTTCGCATCTCTCTCGACTAGTGCGAAGGGCATAGAAGCTAGTCGAACCAACTAAGGTTCGTATAGGTAGTTGGAACGTAGGGTCCCTAATGGTTAAGCTACGTGAGCTAGTCGATGCAGCTACTAGGAGGCGTGTAAATATCCTATGCGTCTAGGAGACTAAAGAAAGGGACAGAAGGCGAAGGAGGTGGAGGATACTGGCTTCAAGCTTTGGTTCGCTAGGGCTTCATCGTGTATGAATGGTATAGGAATCTTGATCGATAGGAGCCTTAAGAATGGAGTTGTAGATATTAGGAGGCAAGGCGGCCGGATTATCCCAGTCCGATTAGTAGTTGGAGATTTGACCATGAATGTGATCAATGCCTATGCCCCTCAGGTAGGTCTTAGTGAGAGCGCCAAGAGACAATTCTGGGAGGATTTGGACACCTTGGTTAGTACGATGCCTGCCAGCGAGAAGCTCTTCATAGGAGGAGACCTAAACGGCCATGTGGGTGCAACTAATGTAGGTTTAGAGAGAGTGCACGGAGGATTTGGGTATAGTAGTAGGAACGAAGAGGGAGAGGGTGTGTTGGACTTTGCGATGGCCTACGACATGTTGATAGCGAACACCCTCTTTAGGAAGAGGGAATCTCACCTAGTTACCTTCCATAGTGGACGACACTCAAGTCAGATCGACTTTATCCTTGCAAAGAGAGAGGATAGACGCACTTGTGTAGATTGCAAGGTGATACTTGGGGAGTGTGTTGTCCCCCAGCATAAGCTGGTGGTGGCGGACTTTCGATTCCGAATACGTGTCCACCGGGAAAAACGTGTCAAGTCCGTGAGAACGAAGTGGTGGAAGCTTAAAGGGGAAGAGGCGCAGACGTTTAGGGATAGGATGCTAGGCGAGGGGCCTTGGGAAGAAGGATAAAATGCAAATGACATGTGGATAAAGATGGCACCATGTGTACGAAAGGTGGCTGCAGAAGTACTTGGTGTGAGTAGGAGAGGCAAGCAGGAAGCGAAAAACACTTGATGGTGGAATGATGAGGTGCAAAGGCCTATTCAGGAGAAGGAGTGTTTCAAGCGTCTCCACTTTGACAAGAGTGCAACCAACATTGAGAGCTATAAAATTGCGAGGAGGGATGCAAAGCGTGCCGTAAGTGTAGCGAAGGGTCAGCCTATGATGACCTTTATCAGCGCCTATGCACGAAGGAGGGGGAGAAGGACATTTGTAGGATGGCTAGGATTCGGGAGAGAAAGACAAGGTACATCAACCAAATCAAATGCATCAAGGATGGGTCGGATCGACCACTAGTGAAGGATGGGAAGATCAGGGAAAGATGGCGAGAGTACTTCGACAAATTGTTTAATGGGGAGAGTGAGGGTCCTACCCTGGTGTTTGATGACTCATTTGAGGATACCAATAGAGTGAGGAGAATTCGGGAGGCAGAGATCGGAGAGGCTATGAAGAGGATGAAAGGAGGTAAAGCAATGGGCCCTGATGGCATCCCCATTGAGGTGTGGAGATGCTTGGGCGCCAGAGCGTTTGTATGGCTAACTAAGCTTTTTAACCTCATTTTCCGGTAAAATAAGATGTCTGGTGAATGGAGGAAAAGTACTTTAGTACCTATCTTCAAGAACAAGGGAGATGTTCAAAGCTGTGGTAACTACCGGGGGATTAAGTTGATGAGCCATACGACGAAGCTCTGGGAGAGGGTTATCGAGCATCGCCTACGACAAATGACGAGTGTGACCCGAAACCAATTTGGGTTTATGCTTGGAAGGTCGACCATGAAGGCAATTTTCCTAATACGACAGTTGATGGAGAGATATAGAGACCAAAAGAATGACTTTCAAATGGTCTTTATCGACCTTGAGAAGGCTTATGACAGAGTACCGAGGAATGTCATATAGTGGGCCGTAGAAAAGCACAGAATCCCATCTAAGTACATTACCCTCATCAAGGATATGTACAAGGATGCGATGACGTGTGTCCGAACATGTGGGCGATACCAGCAACTTCCCAATTAAAATAGGACTACACTAAGGGTCAACATTGGACTCTTATTTATTTGCCTTGGTGATGGATGAGGCCACAAGGGACATACAAGGTGATATCCCTTGGTGTTTGCTCTTTGCTGATGATGTGGTGCTAGTTGACGAAAGTAGGACATGGGTAAATAGGAAGTTAGAGATGTGGAAGGACACGTTAGAGTCGAAAGGCTTCAGACTTAGTAGGACGAAGACCGAGTACATGACGTGCGCTTTCAACATGACTACACATGATGATAGTGATGTTAGCCTTGACGGGCAAGTGGTGGCCAAGAAGGAGACTTTCCGGTATTTAGGATCGATGCTACAAAAGGATGGCGACATTGATGAAGATGTTAGGCATAGAATTGAAGTCGATTGGTTGAAATGGCGTCAAGCTTCGGGTGTTCTCTGTGATAAGAGGGTACCACAAAGGCTAATAGGTAAGTTCTATAGGACGACAATTCACCCGGTGATGCTATACGGTGCTGAATGTTGGCCTACAAAAAGACAACATGTCCAACAATTAAGTGTAGCAGAGATGCGTATGTTGCGTTGGTTTTGCGGGCACACAAGAAGGGATAGAATCCGGAATGAGGATATTCGAGATAGGGTCGGGGTGGCTCCAATTGAGGAGAAATTGGTTCAACATCGGCTGAGGTGGTTCGGACATGTCCAACGGAGGCCTCCCGATGCACCGGTGCGTAGGGGAGTTCTATAGCGGGTCGATGATGTAAAAAAACGTAGAGGTCAGCTTAAACTCACTTGGGAAGAGTCGGTTAAGAGAGACATTAAAGATTGGAATATCTCCAAGGATTTAGCGGTAGATAGGAGCGCTTGGAGGCTAGCAATCAACGTGTCAGAACCGTCACTTTTGCTCCTTTCTCTTTTGCTTTAATCTCTTCCTATTGTTTTTGAGCCCTTGTTTCTCTTACCATTGGTTCTCTTGAGTTTCATCTCTAACCTACCCCAACTTGTTTGGGACTAAAAGACTATGTTGTTGTTGGCTACATTTTGTTAATACAAAAAAAAAAAAAAAAAAAAANNNAAAAAAAAAAAAAAAGAAGAGCAATGATAAATGTCGAAGATGAAACTAAATAATCTCAATGACCGTGCAACAAAATCGATGTTGAACATCATACGTGGTACTATCGAAAAGCCTAAACTCTAATATCACTCACCCGAAATCCATGCTTGAATAACCTACTTAAATCATTAACATTATGAAATTACAAAACTATGAAAAGACACATCCAGCCCAAAAATACCAGACACTCCATCACAAACATTGTCCCATCATTTGCAGGTTAGGCTTGTAATCCTCATTTACCGACCAAGGCTGCTTGTGCTCGTAATTAGCCAAATCACCTCCAAACTCATCAACCTTCTTCTTATAATCATCATTGTCATCATCAACATCACTATCTATGTTTCTCTCTGCATCGGTCAGAAACTGCTGCCAAAATACGTCATTAGCCCCTGGGCCTGCACCAGTTGCCGTCTGAGAAGCACCCAACCCTTCATCCACCGATGTATTCGCGCCTGATGAATTATCAATGCCCTCAAAATCGATGCAGATGGACGATATCGGCGGGCTCTCGCACACGGGCTCCACGACACGATCTTCATTACTATAATCACTATAACAGTCCTCATTCAAGCCGGGATTGGGAATCTGGCAGACAAGCCCTTCACAGAAAGTCACTTGATCCATGTCTGCCCCCGCCGCTCGGCACCTCCTCTTGGACGGGTTTTTGCATCGTTGCTCAAATTCGTCCAGCGCCTGGGCCAACAATCTGATCTGCCTCTCGTACTCTCGATTCACGTTCTTGTGCCTCTCGAGCTCCGACTGGAGCGACTGCTTCTCCTGCTTCAGACGCTTGATGGTTCCGAGAAATTCACGCCTCTCCGGGTCGGTTAGTGGGTCTGGGTTCGTTTGGCGCGAGTGGCTGTGGACCGGCTTGCGCCGCCGTATGTTTCCCAGCAGATGTCTCTGCCCTCTCACGAACTCCTCGTTCGCAAACTCCCATCGCTCCGGATCCGACTTCCGGAACCCCTGTACATTTCAAAATTATTATTATATTCAACAACTTACGCAAATGATTGAATTCGAGTACAAAAGAGTTTAGTATCATCTGCTCACATAAGTATTGAGTTGTCGGATGAAGCTGGAGAAGTTGTTGTGCTTGAAATATTTTGGCAGCAAATCTGCGGCAAACTGAGTCGGGTTCCAGACGGCGAAACTAAGGCCCGAGCGGCTCCAAGAAACGACGGCGTCGGTCAGAGGGTTATCAACCATTTCGTACGTTTTCACGAGAAAAGGCGCCGCCGCCGCCGCCGCTGCCGCCGAGCTCGAATTCCCCTTTGATGATCCCTCCATTATCAGTCACTATGATGATTTAGTGAGTATAATTTGTGTTTTGCTGCCCAAGCAAAGATTGACAAAAAATGGAGCCTCCGTAGAATATTTATTGGAAACCCAATATATTTTATATTCCATTTTATATGTTGTATGTCGTCAGCGCTTATGTAAGCTAAAGGACTAAAATTTAAATAACAGAGATGGTCGTTCGTAGGGACGCACTAAAATCTTGGACAAAAAGAAACCAAAGCACAGAGAGAATTATTAAAATGCGAGAAATGGTTTATTGGTCATAAATTGACCCTTGACTTCGATGAGGAGCATCTAAATTTAACGCGGATAAAACTAAAAAATAAAAAAAAAAAAAAAAATTACTGGAAATTGTTATACTACCTACCCTGTATTGTATTTTGTCTTTATTCATATTATCTTTTTACTGCTTTTTTCCTCTAAAAAAACAAATTGGATTGGATTTTCAAAGATGATGTGGCCTGTTGGTAGTAGACATGGCCACGGGCCAACGCGGCCCGTTGACCCGGACCAAAATGGGTACCGGACCAGCCCTGAACAGGCCACCTAAGGGCCGCTTCGTTTAACCGGACCGTGAGGGCCGCGGTTCGATCTCAGTTGGCGCAAATTTTTTTTTTTGTCCCAGCGCTCTGGGTCGGGCCGCTGCAGGGGCGGATCCAAAAATTTTGTTGAGTGTGGGCCTAAAACTATTTTCGAGAGATGACACAATGTCTAAAAAGAAAACGTAATTTTCATTTTTTATAATCGATTTATAAAAAGATAGATTATGATTTTCAAACTCATAAATACAATATTAAGTTCTTATAATCAAAATCTTTTGCAAATTAAAATTATTATCGAATTTAAGTGTGTTGTAGCATGAACCTTACAATATATTATAGAGATACTAATAAATTAGAATCATAATGTTGTTACTATATTTACACAAAGAGATTGGATTGAACTGGTTGGAGTTGAAATCAATCAAGTGATCATTTTTGTTTGAAACAATATGTTGTTAAACAAAATTGTAACAAAATGGAGTATTCAGAGAATTGTTTGTATCGTGAAATTTTTCTGTATTTTTGGTAATTTTTGTGAATAATCTTGAAAAATTGTTGAAGAAAATAGATAGGAGATGAAGTAGGAAGAAGCCGGTGAGAGAGATAAGGAGCACCTCCTTCCTTTGATCAGATAAAGAAAAACCAAGCCCCTCAGACTTATATCTTCGATATCCATCATCGGAGATATTTATATACGTTTGATGGGCCCGATATTATTAGAAGCAGTGTTATTTGTGGGTCTTATAAATAAGATAAAAACATCAATTGATATAATACATATTCACGTGTAACATCTTAATAGACGAGGCCAAAATTGGATATAAACACAGTAAAAAAAGGTAAAAAACTGGCCAGTTGGATGGATTCGTTTTTTCCATTTAAAAAATAAGTTTTGCTAATTTAAACATATTCTATAAATAAATAAAAATAATTATGTAAATATTGAATATCTATAAAGTATTATATTGGTTAATTTAGACATTTGAGTATTTTAAATTATCTATATGTTTAATTAAGAATAATTTTATATAAAGAAAAAAAAGTTGATTATTTTATGTAATATGTATTTATAAATATTAGTGTTTAAGTACCAATTCAAGTATTGATCAATGAACTTGTAGCTTGATAAAGGTTGGTTGTTAACTCATAAACAAATAAATCTATATATATATAAAAATATTAAAACCAAATGCACCTTTATATAGTTTTGTTTGCTTAGGACTAATGTATTAAATTATAAGATTTTACCTCCAATATAAATTGTTTACCGAAAATTTGAGTGAGGGCCTTGGCCCCCACTGGACCCAATATGGGTCCGTCCCTGGGCCGCTGGCTGGAGGCCGGGTCTCTCTCTTTTATTTATTTTTTTTTAACTCTAAGGGTGGGGCGGCCCGGAGAACCGGCGGGACCGGCCCAAACCCGTTGACTGGCCAAGTCTAGTTGGTGTACGGTTGGTTCAACTTTGGTAAATCCAGGACCGTAGTCCAGTCAAGACTCTGAGCAAATTTGGCGTCTCAATAGTAACAGACTAACAGTGACTCATCATGTTTTAATGTGGTGGCAGCGGGCATCTATGCTTTGTTCTTGCACTTTTGTTCATTATGCTTATGTTATTAGTAGGTCGTGTTCCTTGTTAGCCAAAGTGTGCAATTGTAGGGAACGGATGTCTCTGTTTCCCATTTGATTCCATCTTCATTTACTTGGTATTTGATTTCAATGAAGTTTATCGTTGTACCAAAAAAAAATAAAAAAAAAGTTAGATTAAGCAACTTTTTTTATTACCCACGCTATTTCAATTAAGGGTGCATGGGTTGGTATAGTGCGGAGATTATGAAATATTCGAATTTATGCCGACATTTGAAGATCGCTAAAATTCAATATGTGGAATCGTACCAAAAAATTTGTTTCGAAGATTTTTATTTTTCAGTACGGTATGATGTTCGAGATTGTTGGAATATTTTAGTTCACTTTAGTTTGATTATCTGGAAATTTCTAATTATTTTTTAAAAGTCTCTAATGACTATCTAAATATCTTTAGATTTTGATATGCTTTTAAAAAAAAAAAAAAAAAATAAATCATCAATAATTAATTATATTAAAAATCTTATTCAGAATCAACTTTAGAAAATATAAAAGTAACTCAAAATTTTAGTTAAAACTAAATTTGTGCAACTAATGATGGAAATTTTAAATCCAAACAAAATATTGCACGGGAGGTCAATTTAACAGATAAGTGATTCACACGCATACATTGATTATGAAGTCATACGATCACAAGAAATAAACGCATAGTAAGTTTATCAACACCCACCTATTCACAAATGATACTTATTCAAAAGTTCACTAGTCCAGTAAACCAACGGACTTTGAGATTCTGATGATCTCCTACAGCAGAAATAAAAAACGTCTCAGAGTCGACAAAAATCTAGACTATAAAAGTTTCCTACCTTAACTTATAGATGTGTTGCGCATGAGTTAATTCGTAGATAAATTTGTAACTTGCACGTTAATGACGATCCTCATTGATTCCAACATTGGGGATATGGCTGAGAATATTTGGCACCTCTTTTTTTTTTTATTGCGGCTGAGAATATCTAAACTTGACGTCATATATCATCGCAAACAAAAATATCCACTACCCATCTCTCCTTAAATTATATATGTTCCTCCCCAATAAAAAGGATCAATACTTGGTGCAGGAACCTTAAAGTGGTCGATCAAATGGATAATCAAGTTGTAAGAAGAAGAGCTAATGTCATTACAGCCCATTTAGCTTCTTACGAGGATATCATATCCGCCACTGCCACCCACGTTTTCCCCATGGTACTTCCTTAAATTTGGATTATGTTGATTATTGTCTGCACTCGTTTTTATACAACTCTGAAACTGAAAAATGGGGGCTTTCTTTGAGTAGTTCTTCTGCTCCTGCTGAAAAATGGGGGCTCTATTTTTGGATATATTCATTGAAATTTTATTAATTTGTACTGTGTAAAACCTAAAACCTAAATTTGAGGAAGAACTGGAATCTGGGCATGTTTGTTTTTTACATTTTGTTGTGTTCGATGCCTTTTTAGAAATTTTTCTTTTTGATCTTGGGATGAAGACATGTCTGAATCAGATTGGTGGATAGTTTGAACAACGTGGCATAGAAGTTCGATGTTTGTGCTTGTGGGTAGTGTAATTTCGAAGTTATTAGCTTGTAGCAAAAGTATGAGAAATCAATTGTGTATGAAGGGTGAGCAAGTGTGGATGGAGGAGTTTGCAACTGTGTGTATATTCGTTGAAATCGAGATTGCTGGGATGATATCTGCCTAAATGCATCCTCACAAGCCTGATTTACCCACCAGTTCAGAGTTTGAAC